ATAAAAGAACTATAACAAAGCTGTAGAGAAATCTTTTGGGGGCTACAAAAACACAAAGAAATATAATATCCCTACAAACAGGTGCGAAGTAGAATAGAGACACTGAAGGGTGAAGGCTGCTTAAAATCCCAAATGGAGCAAAAGCGAGGAAGCAAAATTAAACAACTGGGTGTCTGTTGGCTTTGGACTTCGTTATTGTTGATATCCCCAGCTGCCCTGTAATAGGAACTGTCGAGATTTTCAACCCAAACTCTAAAAGAGATGAATTAGACAGCGGGAAGCCGCCGTCGCCGCCAGGACGGCTAAAGAGAGGATGCGTTTTGCTCCCTGTCCTTCCAGCTGCTGGGAAAACAATAGCATGAGGCTGCTGACACACATCAGGCAGGCAGGCAGCCCCTGCCGCCTCAGCCCCCAAGCCCTGGCCTATACGGCGCGGTCGGCCGTTGATTTCGTGACAGTTTCCGCGCCTTGCCTCCCGCGGGGGAGGGCTCGAGTGCGCCGGGGCTGCTCCACGCACATACACAAGCTCCGAGACTCGCACCAAGGCCTAGTAACAGCCCCGCCGACACGCGACGAAGCCCGGGGATCCCGGCAAGGGCCAGGGTGAGGGTAGCAGTCGGACCAGACAGACAGCCCCCTCTCACGGGCCACAACCCCCCCCCTTCCAAAAAAACCACTTTCCCTCCTCCCGCGCCCTGAGGGGAAGGAGAGGGCGACAGAGCGCTGAAGTCGCGCGGGCAGCTAGCCCCCCCCCGCTCCTCCTCCCCTCCCGCCCAAAAGAAGAGGGGCGGTCAGGGGGTTTCCCCGACCTCTTGGAGGGAATTCCCTCCTCCTCCACTCCTGGCCAGGTGTCAGCCGTTTGCCGCCGCGTTCGCCTTTCAAACTAGCCCGCCAGAGCCCACGGGGGGACGGGGCGGGGGGGCGATGGGAAGAAAAGAAAGAGAGAGAAGTAGCGCCTCTTACTCGTAATCCCTGAAGATCTCGTTGGTGACTCTACAGTAGAAGACCTGCTCGTCGGGTCGCAAGTCAGCAGGGGGTTTCTCCCTCACGAAGGGCTTGCGGTGTAACAGCGGCATCGCCCGGGTCCTGATTGCTTTGGAGAACGAGAAGGGGGGGGGGGGCAGAGAAGCGTCCGATAAGTTTTAAAAAAGAAGAAGAGCCCCGGTAGTCGCAGTAATAGTCGCCGACTCCCTTTTGTGTCCGCCTGACACGCCGCTTTTCTCGCCTGGGACTGAACGAGCTCTCTCTGTGTGTGTGGAGTGGATCTTTCCTTTCCTCCCCCGCTTCTCTCCCCCCCCCCTCCCCTAGGCCGCCACACAATGGGGCCATGACGCCAAACAGCAGGCGGCGGCAGCAACAACGATTACTCGAACCCTCCCCCCCACACACACACAACGTGCTCGGCCACCCGTGGGGGGGGGAGAGAGAGAATCTCCCCCGAGCCACGCTTTGGTCGTCACCCACTGGCTTCTGACCTGCGTCTACGTTGGGTTGTGGACACCTCGTCCCGCTCCCTCCAAAACGCTAAACAAACAGGGAGGAAGGGTGGGGGCAGCGCTTTGATCCCTTATCTGCTTCCTCGCCCAGCTACTGTCGGGACTTACCGCCCCCCCCCCTTTCAGTCCCGCGTTTCCTCCCCACAGTTTGATATTTAATGAGGGATCCCCCCTCCCCCCGCCAGCTGGGACGAGCTTCCTCCTGTCAGGATGTTCGGAGAGTGCCCCCTTCTATCTTCCCCGATTGGTCTGGAAGGGACATTTGACCCTCTCCAGACGGACGTAAAGGTTGCACCTTCTTCCTCCTACCTGATTTGAAACGCGATCGTCCCTTCTGCCGGGATGTATTTAATAAAGCGCCCCTCTTCTTTTTTTTCTCCTCACCCGTTGTTCCCGTGGCCCTTTCTCTTCCTCGGAAGTTTTTGATCTACTACTTCAGTCTCAATGAGGAAGAGCTGCTGGGAGGAGCTTTCGACTTCTTTCCCCTACATCTTTATTGGCCGCTCTCCGCCTTTCCAGCTTGTGACACACAGGAAGACAAGAGAGCTGTATTATTAATTAATGGATGAGAAACTCATCCTCCATTTTTGAATTAGTAGCTGAAATTATGCCTGGAGTGTGTCGAGGCTCTCAGAGGCCTAGCCTATACAAGACTCTTCATCATCAAGCATGGTACTCGCGAAGCAGATAAATGTGTAGTTGGATGCTAGGAAATACAGAAGGTATGTGTACAAAGAAGAAAATAAAAAATAAAGAGATGTGCATTTTTTTAACTAAAAAATCTTCTGTAACCATCATTAGGGATTTGGATGAAAAGGGAGAGTTGCAGAAGGAGAACAGGGGAGGGAAGGGGTGTTTTTAACATATAGAGTCCTTTATTAAAACACACCAGCTTGTTACTCACCTCAAATTATTTCAAAGATTATTCTGTGGTAATGCTATCACTTCAAAATAGAAAACAGATACTGTGTTCCAATTATTTTATCTTCCATGTCAGAATTTACTGTGCTATCACAAGCCATGTCTACCAAAAGATACTTAGCAAACCCATAGCATACTTATTTATTATTTTCTCTGTGAAAGGAGTTGGGTGAAGTGTGTGCTTTCCTGTACAGAGGAGCAAGCATCTCTGTGCAAACTAAACATTAGGCTGTTAACCTATTTTCAGTATTGCTCATTCTGAGATATCGTCATATCTTTGCTAAGTAAAGTTTTCTTCGACCGAGGGACCTTCCATGATGTTGCACCCCTCTAAATAACAGTAAATTACAAAAGTGCTTAATTTCTCAGGTGAACACATGGGGTTACATATTATTTTAAAATACCCAATGACTGGAACCCTAAACATATATACCATGAAATAAAGTCTATTAAACTCAGACATTTCCAGACAGACATGACTGGGATTTTGAATTAATACTGTTTCAAGCTACTAGTTTCCCCAAGTGGTAGGAAATTCCTTGGAAACTTTACAGGGTCAGTTTTCTTGGGAGGAAAAAACACTACAGGCTTGTGATTTTCTCTCTGTCTAAAAAAAAAATTATGAGATTCACCAGTTAAGGGGCAAGCATGTAGGCCCACAGGCAGGCACTACTAACCCCACAGTCTCATCAGGTCTTCCAAGTGGTAGCAATCTTATCTGGACTCCCACCTCCTCCTTTTGACTGTTTTTCTAGCCAGACTTTGAAATATTTTGTTTTGTTCTGTCAAAATGCAAGACTGCCCTAAGGTATTCCTTTCAGCCTCCTTACAGCTAGGTGAGGTTTTAAGATAAAGACTAAGCTGAATGGCTATTAGTATCTCTTGATTGCTCAACAAAATAACATGGTCCATTACAAGGATGTTATCTTCAGCAGGTAAATCTCATTATTTAATTAGCGAACAATGAACTTCAATTGCTGCATATGCATAAAAAAGCACAGGGCCCTTTCCCCTTTTTGCCCATCCCCTTGAAACAGTGGGATTCAAAGTAAATGGGCTCCAGGCCATGACACGGCCTTGAGAAGTTTATTTACATTGATCATCTTGTTGTGTCTATTCATCACTAGTCATACAACCCACACTGATTGGATTTTGTGTTCATTTATGATCAACATGATAGTGTGACATACACACCAATCCCTCTTGCATTATTTAGCCTTTAGGCCTCACTTTGTTAAATAAAGAGTTAAAATGTTCTTTGTTTCTGTAATCAGGATACATATATACCCATCTGACAAAATGGGCTTTAGCTTCATGAAAGCTTCAAAAAGTGTGTTTCATTCCAAGGTACTACAAGATGCTTGTTAACATCTGCTCTTTGAAATTCCTATACTTGCAGAGTTAAAATTCTAAAATACTCTTTCTGCAAGTTCTCATATAACAATACTTAAGAGAGAAGTCACCTACAAGTCTGTTGTCTGGCAGCACACCCCTCCTCAGTTCTTTGAGGGGGTGAACAAACATGCAGACAAGGGTAGCCCAGTAGATGTTTGAGTCCACTGGCACCTTTAAGACCAAGTTTTATTCAAAGGGTAAGCTTTTGTACGAAAGCTTACACTTTGAAGAAAACATTGTTGTCTTAAAGGTGCCACTGGACTCAAACTTTGTTCTGCTGCTTCAGACCAACACAGCTACCTCTTGAATTTTTCCCAGAAAACGTTTGATAAAATTCCTCCTCAAAATTGGTTAATTAACAGAAATCAGAGAGTGAGAATAAATGGGCAGTTTTCACAGTGGAAGGTGGTAAGTAGTGGGGTACTGCAGGGCTTGGTACTAGGTCTGGTTCTTTTTAACTTGTTCATTAATGATTTGGAGTTGGGAGTAAGCAGTGAAGTGGCTAAGTTTGCAGATGACACTGAGTTGTTCAGGGTAATGAGAACCAGGGAGGACTGTGAGGTGCTCCAGAGGGATCTGTTGAGGCTGGTAGAGTGGTCATCAATGTGGCAAATGATGTTCAACATGGGCAAGTGCAAATTAACACACATATGGGCCAAAAATCCTAACTGTAAATATACATTGATGGGATCTGAACTGGTGGTAACTGACCAGGAGAGAGATCTTGAGTCGTGGTAGATATCTCACTGAAGACGTTGGCCCATTCTGCATCTAGCATTCGCTTTGTTGTTTTTCCAAACCCACACTGGAACAGAAAAAGATGTGGCTCAAAACCACATTCAAATACCCCAGGCCAACACTGTACTGACTGAAGAGTCACCCCTGACTGGCCATAAAATGGCCATAGATCTATGCAGACAGTAGCATAAAACTGAGATATCAAAGGAAGGGAAACCAGCATGCAGTGTGGAGGCTTCCATAAAATCCAACAATCAAAGAAAGTGAAAGTGGCATGCATTGTAGAGGGAAATTTCTGTTCCAATGTGGGTTTGGTAAAACAGCGGAGTGAATGCTAGATGCAGAATGGGCCATTGACTCAGTATACTACTTCAATAAAAAAAGGCAAATGGTATGCTAGGGGTTATTAGGAAGGGGATTGAAAACAAATCAGCCAGTATCATAATGCCCCTGTATAGATCTATGGTGCAGCCTCATTTGGAATACGGTGTACAATTCTGATCACCGCACCTCAAAAAATATAGTATTGGAGAAGGTACAGAAAAGGGCAACTAAAATGATTAAGGGGATGAAATACTTTCCTTATGAAGAAAGGTTAAAGAGGTTAGGGCTCTTTAGCTTGGAGAAACAACGATTAAGGGTGATATGATAAAGGTACATTTTCTCCCTTTCACAATAGAACAACTCACTGGCACTCAACAAAATTGATGAACAGCAGGCTTAGAACAGATAAAAGGAAGTACTTCTTCACCCAAAGAGTAATTAACGTGGAATTCACTGCTGCAGGAAGTGGTGGCAGCTACAAGCATAAACATCTTCAAGAGGGGATTGGATAAACATATGGAACAGAGGTCCATCAGTGACTATTAAAAGGTAAAGGTTCCCTTGCTCGAAAGCCAGTCAAATCCGACTCTAGGGTTGCGGTGCTCATCTCCGTTTCAAAGCCGAAGAGCCAGCGGTGTCCGAAGACGTTTCCGTGGTCATGTGGCCGGCATGACTGAACACCAAGGTGCACGGAACGCTGTTACCTTCCCACCGAAGTGGTCCCTATTTATCTACTTGCAATTTCTTGCTTTCGAACTGCTAGGTTGGCAGGAGCTGGAACTAGAGACAGGAGCTCACCCCGTCTTGCGGCACCCGGGTCTTGAACTGCTGAACTACTGACCTTCCACAGCCTGCAGTTCAGCGTCTTAACCACTTGAGCCACCACAGCTCCCAGTGACTATTAGCCACAAGGTATAAATGGAACACTATGGCTGATTTCGCACTAGAGCTGCCTCGCTGTTGTGCCGCTGTTTGCCCTGGTTCTGTTGGTTAATTTCACACCCGAAGCTGCATAGCTGATTTTGACCTGCGGCTTCGCTGGATTTCCTCCACAGTTTTGTTGATCCTCAAAAAACAGGATCACAAACCTGCGGGGGAAATTGGGCGAAGCTGCGGGTCAAAATCAGCTGCGCGGCTTCAGGTGTGAAATTGACCAATAGAACCGGGGCAAACGGCGGTGCAACAGTGAGGCAGCTCTAGTGCGAAATCAGCCTATGTCTGGGGCAGTGCTTGGTGCTTGGGGGGCAACAGTGGGAGGGCTTCTGGAGTTATGGCCCCACTGGTGGACCTCCTGATGGCACTTGGGTTTAGGCCACTGTGTGACAAAGTATTGCACTGGATAGGTCATTGGCCTGATCCAACATGGCTTCTATGTTCTCCTAAGTTCATTGAAGTCAAGTCTAGTTCTGCTTAGGATGGCACTATAAAGGATCACTCGCTGCCTGATTTTATTAAAGGTCAGGTACATTAAGAGATGTAGGGGTGCCAAACCCATGCAGGATAGGGCTGTTAAACATCTAAAACCCTGCTCATGCAGACTGGTGAGATGACACAGTTCCGTGCAGAGACATATGACTTCAACAATTGTGGTCTTGGAATTCCAGTTGCTTGGAATGGTTTGCAAGTGATTTTAGGTGTATTGTTATTTTAGCAGTCACATAAGAATGCTGTCCTGTGTACATTTGCTCGAAAGTATTGTGTACTCTTTCTCAGAATACCTGCTTGCAGTGCTGGGGTATGTAGTGGTAAAAGTGTCAGACCTAGGATCTGAGAGACTGATGTTCAAGTCCCCAGTTTGCTATGGAAACTTGCCAGGTGACCTCAGGCTAATTACCTTCCCTCAGCCTTATCTACCTGGCAGTTTTCAGAGGGCACCTGTGTTGGTCTGCAGTGAACCCCTAGATTTTAGTTCAGTAGCACCTCACAGACCAATGAGGTTTTCAGGGTATAAGCTTTCAAGAGTCAAAGTTCCCTTCAAGAAAGTTTTTGGGGTATAAGCTTTTGAGAAGCAAAGCTTCCTTCATTGTGTCTGAAGAAGTGTGCATGTACACGAAAGC